CTTAATAATATACTAAACTCCAAAATATATAACAATATCCTTCATATGTATATTACCATATAGTCTTTTTTTTTTCTTGCAAACTTTAGAAATTGACATAGAAATAGATCTCTATCTTTCTTAAGCTTCAAAGAGTTACGGGAATGAATCTTAATTGGCTTCTTCAAATCTGAAAAAAAAAAGGTCAAATTCAAAGTAAATGAAAAAACAACGATTAAATTAAAGAGTTATTGGAATAATCTCAATTGGCTTCTTCAAATCTGAAAAAAAAGGTCAAAGTCAAAGTAAATGAAAAAACAACGATTAAATTAAATTCAATTGCTAATTACATAATTATGCAATTGGAATATCAGGATGTACATTAAACGATGATGATGCAGTCAATTCACTTATTTATAAAGGGTATCGCTGTCAATTTAAGAACTGCATCATTGAGTGTATTAGATTTGACAACTAATCGTTTAATTATATGAATCGAAGATTCAATTAATCAACATATTGATGAATCGATACTTTGATCTTACAAATAAAAACGACGATTTAATTACTTACTGGAAAAACGACATTGAAAAAAACGAATACCTTCATTGATTTTTTTCGCCTTGCTAATTACATCATCACTTGAAATAACGTCATATGAACATTCTTCATGATCGTTCTTAATCTTACATGATTTGCTGGAATGTGTCTCAATTGGATTCTTCATATCTGCAACAAAATAACAATAGAATGCAACATACATTTATTAAAAAAAACTAAATCAATATTTATAAACGCATTTACCTCCATCGATGTTTTTTCCTTTGCGAAATAAACTTTTTTCTACTTGAACTAGCATCCAATATCGCTTTAAACGCAAACCTCATCTTTGAACAAAATGTCCAATTCTGATGTCTTTCAATTCTCAGTTCTGTCCAATTACAATTCTGGTATCTTCAAGGAAAACTAATTTGATCGACCACGTTGAGTAAGGAAGTTAAAATATTAATTCAAAATTCAAAATCCATTATCCTTACTTAACTGATTCATAAAATCAAAAATATACAATTACAATCTTGCCCTTATTTATACTTTTACATCCTTAAAATAATTA